AAAAGAACTTAATAAATCGGCAAATTTCAACTTCTATGTCTTATTTCTGATACTTATTTTTCGTAGCCATGTTATGCTTTTTAGTGTTGTAGTGTAAGATGTTCTAAACTTTAGTCGATAAATTCTAAAAGTTAAAGTACTCGCGCAATGAACAAGTCAAGAAACCGATTAAGCATTCCAAACTTGTTAACCGTATGATGGACTCGATATTCCATGCTAATTTGGCTCAGAAATGAAAAATATAATAAAATGCTTAATTCGGCACTCTTCACTTTAGGGCCGGGATGAGCCGATTTTCCGACACCTTTTTTTTCTTTCCACTGTTCGCCCTCCTCACAGCAAATTTGCATTTTTAAATGGTCAACATACATCGTGGCGGTTATTGAGAGTTACATCTATATGTTCCTTGGGCCGATGTTGCAGCGCAAGGGTTATGTGACGACAAAAATCAAAAGCCGCAAAAGTACAGTGTGAGTAGTGTCGAACATTTTGATGATTTCCTTAATTTTTTTCAAAATTATGTACGAGGTTTCTATATTTTTTGCAGTGTTTCCAGGTACATTTTTCCACTCTCCTGGAATCTCAGAAATTTTTTCTAATTTACACACGCTCGTGAAACACAGGGTTTTAAAACAGTCGACCACGTTTAGTTGACCAAACAAAACAGAACGCCATAAACATTCTATCTACCGGCTTTGTCCAGACTGGGCATTATCTGTCAATATTGATTATTACAATTTAGTCTTTGCTCTACATACACAGCTACTCGCTGTAATCGTGTTTCGTGCGCCTTCGGTTGCTGTAGTAATATAATATGTTGCTGTGACATTTCTTTTTTCAAACACAACGACGCTTTTCAGTTTATAGAACATGTTTCGATGTTTCAAACATCACGAATTACGATTTACAGATATATCAGTATATCAAGACATCGACACTTTTTTTTAAGCTCATATTGCAAGCAAGCCAAACCCTATAATTATATCTGTTTACTCGAAAACCAGATTCTCGTAAGCATTCAATAAGATTGTCATGTTTAGCCCTTGAGACACAGCTTTATGATGCTTCATGATGCCTTTAGCCGAAATGTAACGAAGTTGCATTTGTTATGTTAACTTTGGTCTGTAACAGTTAATACCATCCAAAACGGCCATTGCACTCTGTGTACAATGAGCATGCCCATTGATTAATAATTATATTTACACAGAGACTCCCCGCCTGTCAGCCTCTACCACCCACTCTACGAAGCAGATAGGGAAGCCCCACTCGGCTGGTTGTTCCCCGCCCCTCCCCCCGGTAAATGTTATTCTTTTCTGCATGGTGTAAAATTCGATTTCTATTGTGGAGTCAGTGTACCAGTAGCGAAAAAGAAAAAAACATTGAACTATCGAACCAATTCAAATGAATCTTTGTACAGATATATTGATTAAATTGAGGCTTTGAGCTACTGTATTTTTATTCCGAGCTTTCGCTGTTCTACGGCATCATCAGGGAATGAAAGAAGGCCTCAATTGAATTTATTTATCTATTCCGAAATGCTACTGAAGGACAACTTCAAACGTGTTCTGAAGATTGGTACGTTTCGAATTTGGAATAAGTGTTCTCGTCTCCCAGATGGCATGCCTGCCAAATATGGTATGTTGATCGACTTTTTGTGCTGGATTCAATCACGGAAGCTTTTTTTTCCCGAACTGAACGTGCCCCCTCTCCTCTAACTCCCCGGGCCTACCTCGCAGTTTTATGACTGGTACAACTTTTAGCAAATTCGCAGTGAACATCCAGGCTCTACCAGGTATTTTACAGGGAATGTTTCCACAAGTAAAAATATATGGCTTTCAATCTAAATCCAAAAGCAGACATTCGACGAAGTTAATATTTTACTGCCTAAATAACGAAATAAAACTTTGCAACCGGTGCAAACATCCGAGAAAATTTCGAAACAAATCATTTTGGCTATATGTAAGATACAGCTTGCAAATTTGAAATCGTGATGTAGTGTATCAAATGCTCTACTCAGTCTAGTTGATAAGAAAATCTTTACCTACCTTATTAATAAGGAGTTATTTTCTTGTGGTTTACCAAAAGACTGATCCAGACTTCCTCAAGACAATCTGATGACTTGTCGACCCATGAAATTTTCAGGACTGGAATGGATTTGAATTAGAAGGAAAAGGTCATTACTACAACGAACACTGTTCTGCTTCGAAAGCTTTCCAACAAACGCCAAATTGTTTAATGAGGCATTCTCAGCTGCATCTATAAACTTTTTCCAAAGTCCGTCTTCTTTGACACTTCGTATTGTGCGAGTTTCTTTTTGAAAGCGGTTCGAACAATTGAAAGTTGTTTGTTTATATCGAAATGGGCGGCTTCGTTATCAATTAATTTTGGGTGGAGAAAATCCTTGACGACTTTGTTCTTAACCTTTGCGAAGGAATTCAACGTGTATAAAAGACTTAGGAAAAACAGCAAAACAAGCAAAGCAAACGGCTTGAAGCGCTTAACGAGACGAAGAAACATTTTAAAATACTGAAATAAGAGACTGGCTAGCCTGCAGTGCAGGCGTCTTATTGGGGCGAGTTAGCGTTACAACCTTGCGACGGCCATGTTAGACCGCCATGTTAGACCGCCATGCTAGACGGCTTGTTTTTTGGTAATTTGCACGTAAGGTGCGAAATATGCCATGTGTTATTAAGCTTATTGAGCTGTAGAGCCGTCCACTGCTATAGTTTCATTAATACAATTTCGTCGACGCGTTTTTGATCGTTGACTTTTGTTGTCGTCCGTTGCGCAGCTTACTTCGGATGCCGGGCCACGAAGCAGCCAGTTAATCTCAGACTTATAACATTCTATTTAATTTGGGGCTAGAAACTCATTTTGGTCAGTTTTGATTTAGTAATCCCTTGCATTCCAATCGCTTTTTACACCAGACTGCCCGTTCTGTAAAAGACAGGATGAACTTGTTGAAATGTTGTTCGGTTCCTTTCAAACCAATAAAGTGTAACACATAAGTATACAAGTATAATACACCACGTTAAGACTTCATGTTTACCCAAACAAAAACAATTTAATAGTTTCTAGAAGCCTGAAATATTATTCCATCGTTTAATAAGAAAAATTGGCACTAGCCGGGTAGTACGTCACTAAAAATATCCCCCATGATTGAAAAAGAAGAAATATTTTTACAGGAATACAGGAAGTTAAGTTGCTGCCATTCTAAGCCAAGTGTTTTTTAATTAAGTGACCATAACAAACGATAATTTGAACTGAGATTTTCGTTCAAAGAGCGATCGAGAAACGAGACGACTACGGCTCCACACCGTTCTAGACCGCTGTTCAAGGTGAATGAAGGCTCTGAGCATTAATATGTTTTTTTTTTTACTTAACAGGCACCTGTCAGTACCTGTGAAGTTCCTTATTTGACGTTCACCCGTTAGTCATCAAGTTCAATAATTTCGGCAGCGCGCCTCCTATTTGTTTCGTTCCACGTATTTCCACGCACTGACAAATCATTGTCAGACATAGCCACCCCTTCATATAAAATAGCGATCAAGAAAATCAACTCCAAAGCAACATTTTCCCTTGGTTGCCTACGATTCTTGTGATACCTAGCTGGGGTTTGGCTGTGTTCCCTTGATGTTGTTTTACCTGAAGAGCTAGCACTTGCTGCGGCCTTTTTGCTAGATTTTGACGGTCTTCTACTGCGTTTTTTCGTTTTCTTTTTCTTTGAATGCGAGCTGCTTTCGCCTTGTTGACGGGTGATAGATAGCTGACGAAAATCAGCGCAGTCGATGTTAAAACAGCCGATGTCGCATTTCCAAAAGCTATCCATAAGGTCCAGGGGTAAAACCTCAAAATCTCGAATCTCTTCCTCATCTGTGATGCCGGGTAATTTCTCCATTACAATAGGCACCAAAGCTTGATCATTGTTGTTGCTTGATTCATTTTCTCTGATATGCGATAAAGAAACTGCCTCTTCTATTGTATTTGCCAGCTGTGAACCGTCAACATGTTGTCCAATAACATTAAACGAAGAATTTGCCACAATGTTTGCCAAAGCCTCGCTGCTCTGTCTCGAGTATTGTATAACCTTATTCCATTTTTCCTGAGTATTTCTGACGAGGTCTTCATTAAATACTTGAGTAGTTGCTTCGATGAGGGAAGTTTTCAGCGAAATTGCTTTGGTTTCCACGCTTTCCATTAGAGCTTCAAAAGCGACCTCGCCCATTCCATCTTGTGGTTGAATTTTAGAGGACAATCCTTTAACGGCCGCCTTTAGGTCTTGAACTGTTTGCTCAACATCCTCCACAATACCGTGCACTTTCAGAACAATTCTAGCAGTAAGTTTTAAAGTTACCTTGAGGTCCCTGTAGACGGTTCTTATGTCTCGTAAAAGACTGATAAAGCTTCCCATGACTTAATTTAAGCTTAACATTTAAATGAACTTTAGTTGAACCATCCCTGTATCGTTTCCTCTTTCGATTTCACCGATGCCTTTTCTTCAAAAACGACTATCCATGCTAGGCAGTAAACCATTACAGGCTAGAACGAAATATTTACGGTTCGAGTTTTTTCGACCACTCCTTTTAGGGTGGGGTTAATTTGAACAAACACAACAGGTCTATGCAACAAGAAATGACATGGGCGTGGCACTTGCTCCAGCAGCTGCTATTCACTTTCTCCAGCTCCTCACTGGAAGACAAAAGGGAATTTGAATCATCTTAGTCAACACACGTTAAAGTTTTATCACAAATAACAAAGCTGACTTTAGTCTTAATGATAGACTGTGAACAGGCGGGGCGTACTCTGTCTTTTACTGCATAGTATAGTTGATAGAGCCGTCACCTAACCCCAAGTCAACTAAAATTTTTATAAGTTGCCCTCCCCTCCCAATAACCTATCTTAACATGAAACTAACGATAATTCTGAGGTAGATGTCGACTCATAAAGGCTCCATACTAATATTTGTAATTGAAAAACAATTAGCGCAAAATCGAAATATTTTCTTGCTTAGCTTATTTTTTCCACTTTCAATATCAATTTTGGAAACTCCGTGTTTGAAACCCATACGCCAGTTATACAAACGCTTTCACTTCTTCCCCTCGCCGGACAATTATCTTCTCCCCCTCCCCTGTTTTCACTACGTACTAAAAAATGAATTCGCGTGAAAGAACCTCCAAGAACTATCATATCTGCCATTTATTTGCCTCCACAAGAACAAATGGTCTGCACAAACTGTAGCCTGATCGGTTCCCAGACGGTCTGAGTTCGCTCGCCTCCACTCCCTCCTCTGTGGAGGAGAGCGGACTCGGACCGCCTTAGACCTGATCAGGCTACAGAAACCGCTGATAAAGAGATGAGAATTTGAACAATCTCTTTTTTTTTCTCGAAAATACGTGGGGAAGAACGCAAAATAAGTGAGCGTACAGAGTGACTGTGAGCGTGACGTGCTAGCGGTGATGCCACGAGCAGCGAGTAGCGCGGGCGTCGGAAGACTTTTCACTCGTCTTCCGACGCTCGCGCTTCTTGCGACTCGCGGCTTCGCATACGCTCACGACCGATCACTCGTGTTGCGTTCTTCTTTGCGTGCTCTCTAACGGATTTTCGAGCAAAAGAGAGACTGCTCGCAGTCTAGCCCAAGGTAGATATCCCTCTAACAAAAGAATTCAACTTTTTGGGAACACCTCCCTTAGTAAGTCACCCTTGTAAAGTGTTTTTTTTTTTCTACCTGATGTTTTTACCGTGTATAAATAATGATTAAAGATTAAAGATTAAAGACGTCTCTCTGGGACAGAGATCTGGAGAGGTGGAACCGTCTTTCTGAAAGATATATGTCTATGTCAGAGACCTCCCCCAGGCCGGGAACGTTCCAAAGTTGAGGTTAGCCTGTGGCCAGACACTCGATCGAGGGGATCCTCGCTTTTAGTTTGTCTCCCATTAACCCGTTTATAAGGTGAACATCTCCCTTAACAGACACCCTTCTAGCATAGATATCCTAGGATCTATTAAGGTACATAGCCAGGTATTATGCACCAGGCCATGTGTTTGTCTTACATTTATTGTGTGCATATTTAACACCACAACAGATATACTTTTCAATTATGGGCTGACAAATTGCAGTGTGTAAAGCCTTTAGGCATACACCCTTTCATGGAAGTGTACTTTCCCATAAGTAAACCACCCTCTGAGGCAGACCGACTTCTCTTTGAGTAGATGCCCCTGAAAAAGACACCTCCCTTGGACAGATGCCCTCTTAGGCTAACACCACCCAATTCAGACAGCCCTCTAACACATAACCCCTCTAAAATTGCCACCTTCTTCTGAAAGTTTATCATCTCTTTTGGAAGAAACCCCTTTACCAATATTGGGCAGCAAGAGGTGTGTTTCTAGTGTAGGTCTTATAAAGAAAGTTCACATCAGGCCAAAGAAGAGTTCACTGACTAGAGCAAGGCTTGGCTAAAACTCTAATCAAAATAACCACTTATAACAATATAACATCAACTTTATTCTTTAACTCTTGGTAACTTATTATTTACATAATTTATCTCTTCACACATTATACTTACATTTCAGAAGTTATGTTTCACTGCAGTAAAAATGAAATTCTATAACCTCCTTGAAAGGATTATTTTACATCTGTGATAAAATTAATTTCTGTACAATGATATTAAATTAACATATATTACAAGCCAATATTTTTAGCTGAAACATCCTAAATAAATATCCATAAACCTTTGTTTTTCTTTTGCAAAGAGACATTCACAAATAACCCCTGCCTTATTTTATCCCGCATATTTTAACCTTTACAAGTAATATTTCTGTGATAACTTTTTCCCTTCAGAGCGCAACTTGCAAACTCAAACACTCGAGTTCAAAGTCCGAAAATGTAGATCAAATATTCAAATAATTTTCCTGAATAGGTGATTGAGAAAGGAAAAACCTCACAAGGCTAGTAGGTTAAGTTTTAAGGATAAAGACAATTTTAGATGAGTTTCATTCCAACAATCTTTGCAATTCACCAGAGAAACCAAATGATTCTTCACTTAGCGACAAAGGATAAATAAACAATGATTTTGAATTGTTCATGTCTGACATAATTATCACGAACTATGCAAACATTACTACTTGTCTGTCGTCAACGCGAATAAGGATGAGTCACGCTTCAAAAGTTTCTGCGGATTAAAAAGTACAAGTTTTCCCGCAACAATTACTCGGTTTAAACGACTGATTGAAATAAACAAGCGCCCAAATCTGGGATATGAACATTTCTGATCTCGACTGTCTCAGCTTTCCAACATTTCGAGTCCTTCTGACTCAGTGCTATTCCGGATGCTGGCAGATCAACCGTCTGACCGCGTAAATGTTCCGGCACGTGCTCGAGCGGTGAAAATTTTAATGTGCACTCCATTTCCACAGAAACAACCACGATTAGATGTCGCTTTCGAAGAGAGATTTTTTCGATCTCCTGTTCGCTACCTACTGCAGTAAGCGTTGTTTCGGCCACTCTACGTCCTTGGCGATCCAACACGTGAAACTTGTCGCCTTCGAAAATGACTTCAATCGAAAACGAAAAGCCTTCTTCGTTGTTGCTGTCTGACCAAAAGTAATTGTCATTTTCAGTCGCCTCACTGTGGAAGGTAAGCCTTTTGCCATAACCTTTACCAATGCTTTTCAACACCAGCGCGGCTCCGTCAAAGAGGTAGTCGTCAGTTCCGTTTGGGCGAACTCGATAAGCAAATCCAGGAACAATTTTAGGGTCAACATAAGTTCCAACCACTGGGATTTCGTGAGGTAGTAGTGCAGGGATGACATATTCTGTTGGAAAATCGCCGATGTCTGCTCCTCGAATACGAAGAGTTCGCACCTCGGGAATGGCTTCTTCGACAATGTTCTCACCGTCTGGGATTTCCTTGACGCTGGCGTGGAAACGAGCGCGCGTCTGTCGCCACCAAACTCTCCATAAGGCATTCTGTAATCTTCTTTCATTTCTATATTCACTTGATAGATATCTGCCGTCCTTGATGCCCTGATCGAACACAGACAGGCTTTGGCTCAACGCACCTTTGCTTTCCAGTCGACGAGCCCTCAACTCGTTGAAATACTTTTCGTTTAACGGGATGTTAAGGACGTTTGTGAACTCCAGAAACTCCGAGAAGTCGTTCGGAGTTTCGTATACATCTTCTTCTACAACATCGTTATACAAAAGATCCATTCTTAGTCTCCTTCTGGTTATGTAATCTACTCAGTACCTCCACAGTACCCCTTCCACCTTCCCAGACTTGTGTCGAGCCCCAAGTGGCAAGAACGTGTATATTTACTGTAGTTTTGTTTGCTTGCGCGTCGCCAATGAATGCATGAATGAGGGAGAATGAATGATAATTCGCGGGCTTTCTTTGCGCTCTTGATTGGCTGACTTATCAGTTCCACGGGTCAGAGGCAAACTGCGCACGTGAACAGGTCAAAGATCGCTTTGCACGCGGCTGGCGACTGGACTTTAGACGGTAAACAATTTTATATTTTAATTTCCTCTAAAAATGCGAAAGAGCGAAGCGTCTTATGAGACCAAATTTTTCAAGTTTAAATGTTTAGTTTCCATAGCCATATGATATAACTTCTATCGAAGAATCAGGAGAAATAGCGATAAAATTTTACTAGAAATTAGTTCGAGTTCGCTCGAGGGCTCGGACTGCACGTGAATAGACCTTTCCACAAATATCACCTAAAATTCCCATTGTACCTGAAGAAGGCTGGTTTGGCCAGCCGGAAAAAATAAAGTGCACCTTTAAAAAAATACTTATCCTACGTTAGCCTCTGCGTTTATAAATATTCACCGTGTTTTCGCTCGAAACCTCACCTGGTTTTTCATAAATGTGGGGTATATATAAAGAATTTTTATTATTCACGTGTGAGTCACGTGTAGGCCCTTCTACATATATCCGGATGTTTTATTGGGGTATTTATTGGGATATGCGCTATTCCCTCGAAACAATACTCAGTTTTATATGCCAGAAACAATCCAGTTAGCGATTTTCCACTAGAAAAATATATTCCATATCACTAAAAGCGTTGAATTAGACCTTTTTCGCTCGGGCGATTTGTTTTCCCATTACAGACCACGTGATATTCTCTAGAGAATTTGTTCTTTATCCATCTAATTATTATTTATTCATATGCACACGACTATTTGAAAATTTGAAAGGAAGAATTTTCACGAGTATAATCATATGGTTTGAAACTGGGCAACAAACTGCCCTGTCGAAAAACGTCTATTTTCGAAAATGGCGGAGGCTGGTAACATCGAAGCGTTTCAGAATCTTCCTCAACTCCTACCACTGCAAGAAAATTTTAAACATTTCAGCCTGAGTGATTCAAAATCGGTGTATTTTTACGACATATATAAGAGATATTTAGAGGGTTTTTTTGAGATATTTAGAAAATTCTTTGTAATATTTAGAAGATTTTTTGAGAATTTCCGCAAAGATATTTAGGCGAGTTTACGTGATCACGTTTACATTTGCGTAAAACCGGAAATACGTATTTTAATGATTGAGAATGCAAAATGAGGTAAAATAAAATAATCAAATAATTTCCTGCTATTATCTTATTTCATTGTATTTTATTTTACCTTGTCGTTAATTTTCACCCCTTAAATATCACTTTTGTTTTACGTATTTTCGGTATTATGCAAATATCATGATCACGTAATAAAATTCCCATGGTACCTGACGAAGGCTGGTTTGGCCAGCCGAAATAAAGTGCACCTTTTAGAAAATCAAATAATAATCTTACATCATATCGGTCTCTCCTTTTTTTCTTTTTTTTTGCAATACCTTACATTACATTGCATACAAAAATTACCTACTACTTACAAAGTTAACGTAACTTACAATTTAACGATACTAACAAAACTTGCAATACTAACATTATTTACAATTTGTTAATATCTTACATTACAATAATGTCTTACATTACAATTTGTTAATGTCTTTCATGTAGGGGGTTAGCTACAATAGGAGGCTTTCTCACAAATAAATTTGTGACTTAGATTTATGTTTCTCAATTTTAATTTTGTTTGTCAAAATCGCTAAGAACGTATCGAAATAAAACTCTGCTTTTATATTCTTCATTATCTTATGATAAACCAGGAGCCCACTGATGGGCTCTTGGATAAGTCCATTAGATTACTATTGATCCAGCTTTATGCGTGAAATCAACGTTGCTATGGTTACTTTAATACCATAAATAATTTCATTAGCCGACTTTCAACTCCTGTCTGTTGCTAAAATCAGCATTATTATATCAACAACCGACGTTTTGCAGACAGATATAACATAATGACAAGTCCAGTATTTTCCTGTGGTTTTATGGTCCCCTCTATAATTGTTGATTCGTTGCGTGACGGTGCCAGTTTCCGTTGACTCACAAATTTAATAGAACTAAAACATTTACACTGACTCAAAACTGCATGGTAAACATTTTCACACTCACTAGCATTAACGTTTAAGCGTAAAAACTAATTTGTAAAAGTATACAGTAAAACACCTATATTCAGAAGTGGCCACCCTCGTGGAAATGGGAGATGGCGTTTTCACTCACGTGGCCAGCACCCATGCAAATTTATTGAAACAAAAGAAAGTAGTTACATAAGAAAAGAGTTCATGTCCCACAGGACTGGTTTGGTACACCAACATGGCCGCCGTGTCATTTTTTTGAAAATGCTCTATTAGCACGAGGCTTAGTGGAAACGTCAATTTATTCAAATACAAACAATACTTGAAGGTTTGTGATTCCTAATGCACACAATAAAGCCTATCACTGTTTTCCAGGTGCAATTGTCACGAAAAAACTATCTCCTTAAAAATCACCATCACAAACTTTCCGTAGCATGGGGTCATAGTTAGTAACTATGATGGGGTTAATTCCTAGATTGGAATCACGTCAAGACAATCTCTATAAATGTGTTTGATTGTTTTCATCACTCGTCTCTTTCTAGTAGGACTCTTACATTTCATCGCCTTTTCCAAAGCAAAGCCAAATTACGTACATGTATTCAAATTTTAGGTTGCCGCCTATAAATAGAAAACCTTTTTCGGGACGACAATAATTTCGGGACCAAGGTAACTGGCCAATTAATATCGGGTGGCCGCTTAATAGATGGATAATAGAGGTTCGACTGTTCTTTTTTTACTTGAGCTGGATACAGACTGAACTGTTTGCCAGTCGCCACTGGAACTAATCAACTGGATTTAATCAAAATACAGCCAATGAAATATAGCTGTTCTCACGGTTAACATCCCACAGCCAGGGCGATTAAAGTCGTGTTCGTGAACAGAGTAAATTGTCAAAAATCGGTAACAAAAGTCGTCAGTTTCGCGTTCAGACGGACGGAACAGACCACGTTTGTTTTGATTCATTGACGTCATTCAATTCCTTTACGTCAAGAAAATGCGACTTTATAATTATTCAACAGTCGTTCGTTCGTGCCCAAAATGTTCTCATGAACAGACGTTTTTAACACTAGCCATGAAGTAAAGTAAAGATCAACTATTGCCAAAAAGGCAAAAAAAGTTGTGCATGAGTTAACCGTGCTTGTTTTCGAGATAAGGCACAATGAAGATCATGCGTACAAAAAGCTTCCGAAGCTAATTTAGATCAGCTAAACGTACCCAATTCAACACAACCAAGTCTATTGTTTTGCAGCTAATATCTATCCTCAGGGTAGAATAGGGACAATAGGCCTTGACAAAGAATACATATTTAGCGTCGCCCGTCCACATTCGAAAAGTTCGGTCGCACGAGAGCAGAAAAGGCGAAATATTTGTCACTTCTCAAGTACAAACCTTTTCTCTTTTTAACCTGGAAAATATTTATATTTTCCAAGTTGTAGTGGTGGGACGATTTCACTCCATCACTCTTTCACTTCCTAATTCCTGTTAGACATTTGGAACTCAGAGGGATCCCCCATATGAGAACGTGAGGGATGCTAAAAGATACCACTTAAACAGAATAGATTGGATTACTAGCCACTGTTCAAGAAAGGATCACGCGCGCACTTGTAGACTCGCGTACTCTAGAGATCAGCGGAAAAGAAATGAGAGCGTTTCTTTTATTGTTAGTTCTTCGAGTGCACCTTAAAGGATACTTTGACAGCTGAGAATGGTGACGTTCCGTCATCAACACCCTAAGTGAGACCACGTCTCAATGTGTAGTCAGACTCAATTCGTGCGAAAATTTTAAATCATTTTTAATTATGTTATTCTTGCATGCATTTTATTGTTCTTAACACCATTTTTGACATTTTCATACTTAACATACTTTTACTTCTTTGTTTTATATTTATACTTATGCAAAATGTTAATCTTCACTCTTAAGCTTGATAATGACCGAAGTTCGGTCGAAACGTCGCGCGCTTTTACAGTTAGTTTTTACTTCAAACTGTTTTAAAAAACCTTTACATATCTACATGATTATACAAGAGAAAATGAGGTCTCTTGAATTATATCAATAGCTAATTTCCCGAAGGTGTCCTTATACAGGTTTAACCGTACTCGATTGCCGAAACCTGAGGAGATATTGAAAATCACAAAATTGATGAGCTGTATAAATATTAGAATTATGATTCAAGCCGTAATTAAAAATTTTGGACGATCAACAGACAAAAAAATTGAGGAGAATTCGAACGAAGCGTTCGCCATGCATATGCATGGCGAAATGATTTGAACAAAATATTTGATAAAGAGAAAAAAAAAGACATTACACAAGACTGGGAATTCAGCAGTCTCTAATATCACTTTGGAAGGGGAAGAAACAAAAAAAGGGAAAAGAAAAAAGAAAACACAAGTTATTACAACACGGGGTTTACGTATTTGGTGACCCATCCAAGCATGAACCCCGCCGAGCAGGGCTTAACTTTGTTGAGCCACTTGAGCGGACGAGACGCAGTGCTGTTCTTGCGGTATTATGACTCTACGTTAGATACTTTTTTCCCTCTCAATAGGTAACAAAGAAAAGAAAAAAAATCATTTTTATCGCCTGAGAAAATAAAAAAAACGAAAAAATAGAAATGAAAATGAGAATCCGATTATTCTTGCTTTGCTGATCGGACAAGAAGCGGTACTTTCTTT